AAATTTGCCTACTTGTTTGATTGCACAGCCGTAATTCAAGAGTGAGATTTTGGTTTTTTTTTTGGTTTTTTTTTACTGAGTAGCCTGAAACTAACTGCTTTACAATCTTCTGAGAAGAATTTAGAGTCTGCAAGGAAATGCTCTGAGCCAATCTGTATCTGTTCAGAAATGTCCACAAGTCAGTCAATTCTGCAGTAGCACTTTGTTATAAGAAAAAATAACCTTTTTTCCTGGCCTTTGTACAGATAGGCTGTAGCATGTGGTTTTACATAGAGATTTTATACTTATGATTAAAACTTTAGTAACCAATATTTATATTGTTAAATAATTGGATGTTTGCTATTCTGAAACTGGTAGAGCTCATCAATAACTATGTGCAAGCAATATTGGTTGGAAAAAGAGGAGTTGTGCTATGTACGATACCTTAAGAAAATCTGTTTTAGAATGTGATTAAGGAATGTGGCACCTGTGTATACAATGGGTGGTTATTACAATCAGGAAATGAAAGTGCTTCAGAACAATCCCCTATTTTCAGGGGTGTAAAATTCTGCTTTAAACACTTAGTCTGAAGTTTAAATTCTGAACACAGTAGCATGTAATTTTTTTTTTTAACTTCTGAGAAAAATACTGCAACTGCCTTAGTTTATCTGTAAGTGCTCTACAGCTTTTTTCCCCATTTGCCCATTCATGGTTTTTATTAATGGTTCTTTAATATTGCTGCTTCTGGTTTGGGACCTATAAAAAAGATTAGAACTGCAAAATTATGCTGAAAATTCTACTCACGACCTAGTTTAAAGTCCACCAAAAAGAAATTCTTTAACCAAGGAAAATGCTTAAAGAATCTGCTGATTCTGAATCTGCTTCAGCCAGCTGTCTACACCACAGTGTAACTGAGAAGAAATTCCCATCGTTTCTTATTAACAAACTGCCTTAAGGCATATCTAGAGACAACCACACAAAGCAGAGGAGCTCAATTGCAAACTAAATCTTGAATGCCTGTTTTGATCTCTGTTCTGAAAATGTTTCAGTTGAAAATCTCAGTGTTATATTAGATCACCTGACGTTTGTGCAACACAGATGAAATACAATTTTGCACTTAAGGAACTGGACTCATAGCATGCTTATGCCTATTAAAAAATTCCTGAACAGTCTGCTCTTTAATTTATGTAAATTTATTCTTGAATAGTTGTGACCATGGAGTCAGAAGCTTTAGCTCTTAGTTTTGCAATACTGGGATTGAGCTATGGTTTGGTCTTTAGGTTGGAAATGTTCAAACACTTCTGATGATAAAATTGCTGATTTTATCATCAGCACTGTACAAGACTTATTGGCCTCCTTCAGCTTCAGTGTGTTCAAAGGATTGTCTTAATGTTCTTGCATCTTCTCAATGACTTTGGTCACTGTTCCTTTTCAAAAATGTTTAAAATAAAATAGAAAATTTTGCAAGGTCAGGACAGGAAAATACTTCTATTTATTTCTCACTTCCCTTTCCCCAGGATGCACACAAGCAGACTGTGGGTGCAGTTGTTCTTTTGCAGTCAGATGACATCCTTTCTTCCTCTTAGAAGCAAAGGCTGTTTAAAATGAAATTTTTATTCATACTTTTCCATCTTACTACCTTTCTGTTCTCAGAGAAATAAAAAATGGTGAATGGTTAATGCACCATAACATCTCCACTGCGTTTGCAGAAATTGGAGGGTAAAGAGTGAGCAGGGCAGAGGCTTGCAAAGGGGAGCAGGATAAACACTCAGTCCCTGCAGTTGAGATTTTGCTGAGTAAATTGGGTTACTTGCTTTACTGCTTTCATCCTGGGGTTTTAGTTCCTGGTATGAGCTGCCCTGCCCTGCTTCCCCTGCAGGCAAATGTGTGAAGGGGGAATGTTCAATGGAGAGCAGTGTAATGCTTTGTAACTGGAAAAACTTGACACGGGTTTATCCGACAGAATCCATCTTAAATGTCCTGGCTGCTTCTGCTTTTGGCCTCTGACTGCTCCTGAAGTGGCTACTGAGGGTTTGTTAATTGTGTGGTGTGAGATGTCAGTTGAAGCAGCTCCATTTCTAGATAAAAAGCAAGCCATAAAGCTCAGTTAGGGAGTTCCCAGCTGCCTCACAGTGCCTTACACCCTTCCCTAGGCAGCTGGCTGGCTGCAGTCTGACTCAGAGCATCTCTGGTCAGGTGAAGTCATTCCTTGGAGCTGCTGTGTGATGTGGGATGGGAGGAGACTCCAAAGCTCTTTCCTGAGTGATACCGTACTGCACGTGGTGTTTGCTGTTTGGTAGGGAAGGAGCTGCAGTGCAGGACTCCCTCCCTGCCTTCATCCTTCCTCCACCCCCGGCATGTGGAGGAAAAAGGAAGGATCAGCATGGCTGTGTTACAGGCCTGGGGCTAAAGCAGGGACACAGCTCCAGCTGAGAAGGGCTTTGATCTCAGTATTTCTTAACATGGGAGTGGCTGATTTTTTTTTTTTTTTTTTTTTAAGCTACATTAAAGGGGCCTGAAAGGCTCACTGGATTTTCCTACATTTCAAGATGACAAGCTGAGTGGGTGAGGCACAGCATCTTGTGCTGTACTAAGACTTCTGTTTTCCTTGAAGTGGAAAGCTTCCATCTGTTGTCATTCACCACAACTTAAACTGGTTCTACCACTAATGCACTGTCACTTAACACAAGGGCCAGCTAAGGCAGGAGACAGACCTGCCTTGGGCTGGTATGTTGTTAATCTGTTCCACATTACAAAGGAGAAGGTTTCCTCTTCCCAGGTCCCTCAAACATGATGCTTTGCTGTTTGTCCCAGTCTTGTTCCCTGACTTGTACCTCTGGACTACCAAGTGTCTGGTCCTAGGAGTTCTGTCTCAGTGACTGGCTCAAGGCTGAGGATGCCAGGGCCTTTCTAGCAACATATTTTCCCTGCCCTGATTTGGAAAGCAGCTGAATCAGCCAAGCTGACAATTTAAATGGCAGGCACCTGCCCTCCTCTTCTGGAAAATTCTGGTTAGGGCAATAGAAACATTTATGAGAATGAGGGAAAGGGGAATTTAATAATCCTAAGTAAGCTAAGTTTAATATGGCAAATTTCAACTCAAGTATTCAGTAAGGAGCTGGTGGAGTTTGAGAAGGGGCAGCTGTAATAACAGACACTATTACCAGACCTATTCCAGAAGCCTTACTCATGAAGTTGTAATGACATCAAGTTGCTTAAAGCATCCAAGTGTGTTGCCAGTGAATTTATAGCTTGTCTAGTTACCATGACAATCCAAAGTTCACTAATATATTCTTTTCTATTTGTTGGCTTTGCTTTACTCTTAGTTTTTGGTGTTTTTTGCTTGTTCCCACTGTGGTTCATGTAACTAGCATTTACTTTAGCCATTCTTAAATTATGTTTTAAAAAAGAGTGGGGATAGGTGCAGGTCTTCACTGTAGTGCCAGTTACTGTTTACTGAGAGTGGAATCAGACCCCTTCTGCGTTTGCCTTTGGTATGTGACTGAAATAGGAACAGAGAAACATGGTTTAGATCATTTAACTGCAGGATCTTATCTGTGCCTCTGGTATTAAAGGTTTGGAAGGAGACAAACACTTCACCCAGAGAGGGAGGCTGAGGCTTAAGCCTGTTCCACCTGACCCTGTGGTACAATCATGGAATGGTTTGGGTTGGAAGTGACCCTAAAGATCATCTAGTTCTAACCTCCTGCCAGGAGCAGATGACATTTGGCTCAGCAGACCCTTTGGTCTGACACAGCACAATTATCTTCTTGATCCTGATGAGATTTTACTGTGTACTGAAGAACAGCACTCACAGAGGCTGAGTGAGCCTGCAGAGTTCTGTAGGTGTAAACAATCCTTTACCTTTAAAAAGTCACTACAGTCCTCCAGTGGAGTAGTGCAAACTGCCAATTACAGACAGCATCCATATGATCTTCCAGGAACAGCTTTACAGCATGTTCCCTTCCAGGTCCTTAGGATGTGCTGCTGCTCCTCTTCCCTTGTCTGACCTTTCCCTCCAGTAAGTTGTTAGAGGAAGGCTCAAAAAAGGCAGAACTCAAACAAGAAATTAAACTCAACCCCCAACTTCCTGCTTTTGTTCAGTGCCAAAAGCACAGCAGGAGTCTCTTCTTGCAAGAGTCCAGGCTGCTATTTTTCCTGACTTTGCTCTGTGCTGCTCTCTTCCTGTAGGATGGATTGGATTGGGCAACCACTGTTTTCCCACACTGTGAAAAGAAATCCAATCATCCAGCAACAGTAGAGCAGTGACCTGCCTACTGTGACCTACGGAAGTTAAATGATGGCACACTTGTCATAATCACTTTCACATAAATAATTTTCTGTTATTTAGTGCTTTTCCATCCTTGTCACACAACCTCAGCAGCAGGGATTGTAGGAGAGGTGGTTCAAAAATCACTGGAGATGTTGTCACAATGACAGGGTCTCCTGTAAGCTCTTTCTGCAGCTCTTCCCAGACAGCTGAGAGCCTCTGAATAATTACATAGGATCAGCAAAACGTGTCACCTTGCTGATCAACATACCAAAAGGATGCCACATATCAAAAGAGCTTGCTTTCTTTGGATAAACACGGCCAAACTGCAAAAGTGGAATTCCTCATTGTCCAGGTCAGAAAGACATGGTATCTCCTCCTGGCTTCAGTGTAAAAAACCAAGTTCTGAAGCTCTGGGGCCATCAGACCTTGCAGCTCCTTCAAGGATGTTTAGAAAGCCAGGAATGAATTGGTAGCCATGTTTGACACCCATTTCCTGAACACTTTTTAAACACCTAAATTAAAGCAATATTCTACTGCCATCAGGGTTGCTTTGTCTAATATCGCTTCAATGGGCTGCCTCACTCCTGTTCCATCCTCAAAATGAGCATTGTTATATCACTGAAAACATCAAAGTGTTCTGAGAAGAACCAGCTGGACTTTACCCACAGGAGTACTGATGTCAAAGCCTTCACCAGCTGGGTTCCTAGAAAGAAGTGCACCAAAAGCTGCAGCAGCAGAACAAACTTATGTTCTCAACAGTCGTTTAATTAAGAAATCAATCATCAGAGGAAGCACAGAACACAGGTTGTGACAAAGGCTGTGTTACAGTGCTTTTCTAGCACTTTTCAGCATCAGGTGAGGTGTGTTTATGTGCCTCCAGGCTGGGGCTGGCAAAGCCACGTTGCCAAATTCTGCCTCTTTACAGGCCACACCATCCTACACCGGATCTGGCACCTTTGCCACCACGGAATCACAGTTCAGTCACAAATGCCAGCGGTGCATTCACAATTCACTTGGATCAGAGCACACATCTGTATATAAAAGCCAAGCTCTAAATCCCCCTGTTGTAGAAGAACTCTGTTTCTTCTGTAGATGACAGAATTTCCGGTTCAAGGTCTGCTCGCTTTATCTGCAATGTAGGAAAAAAGGGAATCAGCACCACCACGGCCTGCTAAGTGGATTTTAAGTCTTTGTTACTGCATTGCATTTTGCAGAAATTCAAATACTACATTCAGTATTTGGGACTTGAGCCTCTTTGTTTATCTGGAGATTTAAGGGATTTTTTTGTTGTTTTGAGGCTTTTTTTCCTCCTTCAACATTTTCTACATGTGCACACATATGGGAATACATACTTATTATTTTAAAATAGTGACATTATCTTTGTTCACTATAGAATCACAGAATCATTTAGATGTGAAAAGACCTTTAAGATCACCAAATCCAGCTGTAAATATATTTGGGTGACACACAGGAGAACTTCTGCTGTGGGCTGAGCCATTGGGAAGCCCAAAGGACATTAACCAGCCCTAATCTCAGTAGATAATTCCTCAAAAGTCCCCTCATTTATGTTCAGTTTGCCTTGTTATAAGAGATTAAGAAATCTAAAGAAAAAAAAAAAAAAACTAGCAAACTAAAATGCCAGAAAGTTCAGGTAAATAAAAGAAACCACTGAAAATTGCAAGAGAATTTGCTAAGAATATTCAGAAAGAGGAAACAAATGCAGAAAGGCTTCTCTCTCTTTTGACCTTCTCCAAAGCCATATTCAGGAGCAAAATCCTCCATTTAAAACCTGCCAGGAAGCCATTCTTTCCCAGGGAACAGATTACACCTCCCAGTTCAGCAAGGCAGGGTGAAGAGATGTCAGGTGTGAGCAGGTTTACCTCTCCAGTGAACTCATGCTGACTTTGCATGAGAGAAAAAATTCTCATCTACATTTTTCCTTTCTCCTGCAGGACTGAATGCAGTGCTGGAAGAGCCTTGGCTTAAATCTTCAACATAGTTCTCCTGACATTGTTTGCTTCAGACTGTTGTGAAAGTCTGATAAATCTACATTGAAAAGTGTAAATATAAATAACACACAATGCAACTCAAACTTCAAAAGTCCTGTGAGCCTCTGCCTGGTACATGGGCCTTCACAGGCAACCTCTTTGCTGCCCCATTTTAGATGTAACACATTAAACCTGTTGATTTTTTTTTTTTTAATATGTGGCCTTCAGACTGCTGGCCATAGTTCTGAAAGGCTTATTTAATATAACAATAATCTTAAATCAATTCTGTGAAAGGACTTACCTCCCCACACTGTGGGAACATACTAAATGAGACTGGCAGCATCCCTGCTAGCACTGACATAACCATAAACATCCTCACTGGACCCAAAGCACGAGGATTTTTAACCAATCTTGCTCTGTCCAAGACATGGAAAAAAGTATTCAGTGTATTGAAAAATAGCCTGACAATGACACAAAGAGCATTTGCTACTATTTTACTGGTTGAAATTACACTGAAATTAGTAATAATCTAGGCTTATGGTTCCTAAAGATGTTTCCTTACTTCATTTCCTATGTTCTTACTCTTAACTTCCTGTGCTTTCCCTTTGATCTTGCTGCTTTCTTCCTTAATCTTAACAGTCTGAGCTTGGAAAATGCTGCAGACAAGCACAAAACAAAGTGACAAAAGGAGGGAAAGTACATTAGTGCTTTAAAATGTCTCAGTTCCTTGGTTAAGATTTTTCTTGCATTACCCTTTCCTTAAACATTTAGTCCCTATGGGCAGCCCTATTTTGCTTTGTGCAAAAATTTATTACTTGATATATTTAAAATTTTATTTTACATCTGCATTTGTCTTCTCGTAACAAGAGTCCCTTAAGCTGATAGGGAATCAATTTAAGCAATGCCAAATTACCTGACAGAGATGATCCCTGCCTGTACTATTTACATGACAAAAAGCTCAGGGCAGGCTAAGAATCCTCTCATAAAGTATACAAGGTATTCTTCTTGGATACAGGGATTTAAAATGTTGAAAAGCAAAAACATGTTTTACAATAGGTAGGAAACTATTTGGAAGTTGCTATCCAGCTTTAGTTGCAAATTCAAGTGCTACATTACCTCTTCAAAAATACAAACCTAAGCTAAGTGGTGTGAACAACTTTGATACAGACATTGGAACTCAAATCTTAAGTTAGGGAACTGGAGGTAGGTATGTGCTGGAAAACAGCCTGTCAGGAGAGCACAAATGTATTTCCTGCATGGGAGCAGAGAGGAAAACCTCATTCCTGCAAACCCTTGGAGCACAGGTTCAGACATAACCAGATTCACTTAATGATCTCAAAGAATCACAGCAGCTGAACAGCAACTTCCCACAGCATCACTTGCACCAAGGCAAGCAATACTGCAAACCCAAAAAAGAACCTGGCAGATCCCAATTGCCAGACTGAAAACCAGAGTAGCACTGACCAGGCACCCCCAGCCCCCTGCAGTGCCTCTCACCTCTGCACAAAGTACATGAGCACTTCTGGCAGGAAGAACGTTGTCCCAAACAAGACTGCCCTGGACAATGCTGTTTCCATGACAGCCTTCAGGGAGAGAGCAAAACAAGTGTTGTCAAAGCAGTGCTCTGGGCAGCTTCAAACACTGCTTCCCTGAGTGCTTTTTTTGTCTTACACTCTGGAGTTTAAAGCAACAGGTTAATGGGGGATAATAACATCTATTAGAGGAATTCTTTCTTAAATGGAAACTAAGAGGCAAATACTCTGCTTATGACTGAGAAATTCCTTAAAAGGAAGGTGAAACTACTGATGAGTTTTCCTGCCATGATAATAATTTTGCTAAGACTTGCTTTTTAAAGTTGTGCTGAACTTCATACAATTGGTTGTACCTTCTGGGCATCCTAACTAGCCTTGTTAAATCTGAACTTCTCTCTCCAGCTGTCCCCACATCCTTAAGCTCATGCAGTTGTTTCCACAGGGCTTTTCTCTGAGGTGTCTCATCAGAAGATCCAAGAGTCTCATCTCCTTCTGGAGGTGACCAGGGAAAACAGAAATGTCTGTGCCAGTGTCTCTGATCCTCAGTAGATTGGTTTGGGGAGGCAGCCAAGCCTTGATGACACAAAAGTTGTGGAACCTGGTTCCAGAGACCTGCCCAAAGATTCAGCACCTGATGTGGGATTCCTTATCCACTATATCCAATTCTGTCTACATCACATTCTGCTTTTAGCAGGGAATGAAACCCAAGTCAAAAAAGTTCTCTGCCCCCTCACCTACCTTCTCACCAGCCTTCTTAGACACTCCTATAACCTTGCCATTCCTGTCCATCACTTCTATCCCATTGTCAAATTCCGGGCTTCTCACCATTGCCACAGTAAATGCACTTGTCAAACCTGCAGGGTTAAAGGGGATTCTGCTTTAATAGATCCAAAAGGACTGCCTCAGTAGTAACATTCATAATGATGTGCATTTTACATTTCCATTTCAGCAGTTCACAACTGAATTACCTTACAGCTTAAAAAGACACTGCCCCATGAGAATCTACTTGGGATCTGAATCTTTGTTTCAGAAGCTTGAGTGAGGCTTCAGTCCTAAAAGGGGCTTTGTCATTATGGATTCAGAGCTTTAAAATTATTTCCATCCAGCTCAAACCATGCATACTTTGTCTTAAGAGAAATTGGAGGGATTTCTGTTGTGGTTAGGTTTTGTCCTAGTCAAGATAAAATCCAGCACAGAAGACAAAATCCTGAAAGCAACAGGGTTTCAGAAAGGGCTGAATCCTCCATTGAAAGGAAGGGCATAGACTGTCAAACTGACCTTGCTTCAAATAAGAGATTGCTTTTTTAATTAGTTCTTGGTAGGGCTATTCAATAAATTCATCAATGTACCAGAGGACACTTTGCACATGCTGGACTAACATTAATCAATTAGGCTCAGAGAAGCCCTCAGGCTTTTCTCCACATTTAAGAAAATGGAAGCACATTTAACACCTGCTTCAAAGGAAACAAGTCAGAAACCTCTAATGTAAGGCCTCAGAAAGATCTGAATAGGCATCTCGCATAACTTGAAACAGAGGGGATGATATGTTTTAATTTTATCAATTTTCCCCTAAGAAAGGCCAAAAGTTTCTATAATGGCAATAGAAACACAATGACATTAAATAGTTAAACTTGTCCTGGTGCAACTTCACCATGGCAGTGGAGCTGTTGCAGGAGTGAACTGAGTCCCACTTTCCTTGCAAGATTAGTAACACCCTGCTGGAACAATCTCACTTCCCGCACTCCCAGAGCAATGTCGCACTCTGGTGTCCCAGATGTGCCACACCAAGTCATGTCAGTGCCACTGCTACTGCCCTCCTGATCTGTCCTGGTGCTTTCAGGTATGTGTACAAAGGTCACAAGAGTGCTCTGCAGCTCTGAAACTAGAACCAGCAAGAACCCAATGAGGCTGGGGACACTGCAGTGAGAGTTGTCTCCCACAGAGAGGAGAGGGCCAGCAAAGGCAGCCAGAGAAGAAACAGTGAGAGCACACCTGTGCAAAAGCAAGAAAACTCTACAGTCAGACAGGCAAATGGCCCTCAGGCCAGCTGCACAATGCACAGCTTGTTTCTACTCACCAAGCAGAGGAGCAGGTAGCAGTTTTTTGACAAAAAGTTGCATTAATGGGCTCTTCAATGCATAACGATTCATGAAGGCAAGAGGGAGAGCCTAAGGCATGGAGAGGAAACAGGGACCTTGCATTGAAAAAATGTGCAGCATTTCAGTGTAACAGGTTAGGAAAAGAAATCTGAATTAGTACATAGTTACCATCTATGAAAATAAGCAAACACCTTGGTTTAACATTCCAACAAAATATATGCCTTCTCTAGTTAATGAAGGTGCTTGTAATCACTCTTTCAGGTAAGAATAGAAAACATGATGATAAAAAAATCATTCAACGTTATTATGTACGGGACAGCAGCAGTGTGAATACAAAGAAAAAAGAAAATAATTACCTTGACTAACATTCCTTGGACATTTGTCCAACCACACTGTGTCACACACCTCTCTCCCCTAAACAGGAAATCTGGTTTACTTCTGCATTTTTCCTGATTCTCTGCAGTTTCAGCCCAATTCTATATTCCCATAATACACTTGCAGGAAATTTCATTTAGGAATAAATGGCCAGGACACCAGCTGGCCCTCAGAGACTCCCTTGAAGGACAAAGGGAAGCACTCTCATGATGACCCCAGGGCAGGGCTGCCTCCCCACACTTCTCTAAGCCCTGAGCAATCCTGCCCGGCTGTTTTGCCCTGCAGTGGGCAGAGGTGAAACTCCCTCTAACAGAAGCAAGACCAATCACATTTCTTCTGCCAGAAGCTTATGAAAATCACTGCTTCATTTGGAGGGTGAGGAGAGGCATTACAGAATCATCTACACTTGTGAAGAGTGTCATGATACCTGAGCTCATTCTGATGTAGCAAACTGCAGAAACCACAAATTCCTATTCCAGCAGAGAGCACAGGGTCAGCTCCTTTCTGGAAGACTGATTTCCCTGCATCCAGTGCAGTATCTTCATGGCTATGCTGTTCCTGGCATTTTAGCAAACACTGTCCAGTAGTGATGCTTGCAGATGTCACCACTTGTTTGGAGTTGGATCTCTTCCACAGCACCACATCAAAAATCAGCTACAACACCCCAGTGGCTCACTGTGTTTGTAAACACTGGTCATTCCTCTCACTACCTGTTTGCTAAACTTGCAAAACAGTAAAGAAAATTACACAAGAGGAAGCATCAAGGGAAGCCAAACAAAATAAGGCTGACAGGTGATCAGAAAGTGCTCTTATTCTGAACAGTTCTGTGGCAAGACATCAGAGTAGAGCACCAGAGCACAGTCCTGAAGGATATCTGGCACTGTGGTTACCTCAGTGCCTACTCCTTCTCAGGAGAACTTGTTAGGAAAGCAATTATTGAGCAAATACTTACACCAACACAAGCTGAATAGGAAATGGCTCCCAAGCCAAGGAAGATCTGCTTTTGCCGAAGTGAGTATTCCTAAGGACAGAAAAAACACACTGCATAAGTACATTGTAAAACACTTGCAAATCAAGTTCAAAATGGCATTTGCACAATTAAGATGATTATAAAAATTAAAAGTCCACACTCACTTCAGACTTTGGGGTGCCATTTCCATTTATCAGAGCGAATGCTGTGGTGTATGTGTGAAACACAAACTGCAGAAATAAGAGATTGTAAGAAAAATTGAATTCAGGATTGAGACTAGAAGATCTGTAAAAGTAGAAAGAAAGAGGCAATTACCTGCCAAAAAAAAGAACGCTTTGCCTGGCGCTGAACAGATGAAACGACGACCTAAGAGGAAAAATGCACAAGAAAATGAAGTTTGAAGAGTGTAGAGGTTTTTGGTGCAGGAGCACCAGGAGAACTGCTGAGGTACCATGGGCAGCAATGTCAAAGGCAGTGCCCAAAGCCATCAGCCTTGGTTCCAGGCTAGCACATTCTCTTGTTACAGAAGTGACATGCTCATTTTTCTATTCAGTAGAAAGCACACAGACACATAGTGGTAAAACATTATGTGCAAGAATATTGCAGCAAGATGCTTTCTTACCCAGAAGAAAAATGCATTTGTGCCTGTGAAGCTTAAATAGATGCAAATAAAATAACTAAGGTAAAAAAAGTCAATTAAAGAAATGATTGAGAAAGGGTCAGATAGGTTTTGCTGGGGATATGAATATTAACTTAGCTGTAACTGATCTATGATCAAATATTTTAGGAGTTTATTCCCAGCTTCTTCTCAAATTCAGACAGTGAATAAGAACTTCAGCTTTAATAAACCACAACCTTTCTTGAGGTTTCAAACTAAAGGTGTTGAACACAGAGTCAACCAACATAAGAATACAAAATATTAAATAAGAGGAAGGCTGAGAATCTTCAAAGCCTCAGAGAAGGATCAGTTAATTCATTTAATATTAGTGGATCAACCATCTTTATTATTAATGCCAGCACTGACTCTAACCACATCTATGAGAGCGCATGAAGCTGTAAATATCAAAAAGAAGTATTTCTTAATTTAATTTTACTACTTCTATTAATGAATTTTAACAACCATCAAGACTTTTATTGTACTTTCTGTCAGTGCCATGTAAGTTCATGCTGTAATGTCTGTATGGAATGACATATCTCAGGATGTACACTCATAGGCAAAGCCCAAACCCAAAGAATCTAAATGAATAAATAGGCACATAGCTAAAAATTTTATGAAACAAAATGGTGCCATTTTTGAGCACAGTAACAAGAGTTTATATCTTTGGTAATTTACTGGTAACACCATTTCCTACTTGCAAATGCACCATCTGCATAAGAAAAAATCATATTCTGGGTTTGAGACACAGAACACAAGGCTCCAATTCCTTCCTGCTACAGTTCCAGATTTTTGGGGCTGAACAGACCAAACCCAGGCCTTGCTCTCATTGCTGAGTGACCTCACCTTGCATCAGAAAGCTGTCCTTCACACATGAACAATCTCTTGGAATGCTGCTGGAGAAGGGTAACTAAGAGCTTTTGTCTTCCAGGGAGATTCTTTAAGGGCTCAATTTCCAGGTTACTCAGCACTTCCCATAAAACAGATATCTTTCAAACAGCTTGTGCTGAAGCTACAATAACGTCCCCAAACTTCTATTTCCTCTCTCCAATCCCTGGCTATGGAAAATGGAAGCCTTGCTGGATGCACACCAGCATCTGTCATGATTACTTACCAAGGGAAGAGTTATAGGCATGAAAGCTAAAAAGAAAGAAAACTTTATTTCAATAAAAATAACATCTGTGAGTGTAGATGGATGGTCTTGAACAGAAAATTCCCCTAACTTCCCCCATCTATTTCCATCTCCAAGTAAAACACTGCCCACAAACCCCAGCATCACCATTAACTTCAACCCTACGCTTTATCTGACTCCTCACTCAAGAAGCCACAATCCCTGCTCAGATTTCACAGCCAAAAGGAGCCCTCATGAACTCCACTCACCAGGGCTGATTGGAAACCAAAAACTGAACACAAGTTCAGGTCTCTGTTCAAAAAGAGAGGTATAACAAAAGCTGCCACAGTTGTGATAATGAGTAAATAGCCTCAGTATGGTAATACCTGATTAACAACCTCTGCTGCCTAAACAACACCCCAAGCACTCTTGATCTGTCACCAGAAAGTAAATTCAGCCAGCAAGGGAAAAACTTAAATTATAGCAGGCAGTTAAATGTGGAGGGATTTGGAAACTCATTCTGCAGCAACAAGAAGCAGAGACTAACCAGAGAGTTTCCATCTAGATGAGCAGATTATCCTGGGGAGAAATTCCTCAACAGGACCATAGGAATAAATAAATACACCTTCAACACATTTAACAATGCAACTAACAGAAGAGTCTGCTTGCTTTTCTATATGGAGAAGAGTGTCACTGTGGTATCACAGCAGCTATTTACCATGAGCTGATTTTCCTGAGGCTTCAGTCACACACATAAAATTTCTCTCATGGGAACCTACCTGGAGGTCTAAACAAAACAGGAATTATCTTGTCTGTATCAGGATGTACACTGGACTTAAAAAGAAAAAAATAAGCAAATTAGAACACCTTTGCCATACTTGAATAAGGAAAAAACATTCATCTAAATATTTTGTAAACTTACCAGGCTTAGCAAGAAGGCTTGTTTGGTCTACAACAGTTGGAAAATTAGGTTAGTAATTAAATTTCAGAAGAGGGTGGGTAAAATCTTCTTTCTAAATTTGTTGTATGTGTTTTTCTAATCACTTCTTTTTATACAAATTGTATATATTTATATATCTCTTTAATTATATTTTCCCCTAAAATTTCTGTTCGTATACTCCCTGTTGAACATAAAGCACTCACATCCCATGGGCTGTGTAACAGCATGAAAGCACACACTAGGGCAGAACAAAAGTTAATTTTAAAAAGTTAAAACTAGTAGATATCTTAAAACATAAAACAACAATTAAATATGGCCAAATACTTATGTTAAGACTTTAACTGCAGTCCAAAATACCTGATTATTCTGTACGCGCTCATTTAGGGTCTTCTCATTAATTTGTATAAATAACCTGGTTGTTTTTATTTCATTCTGTTTTTGCGGGAAAAAAAAACAAAACAAACAAAAATCCCTCAGATTTCAATATTCTGAGTGCAATATATCAGTTATGAAACACCACAAATACAAGCCTAGAAGCTAATGATGCACCTGTTCCTCACCTGAGAAACACACCCAGACAGACAACCAATTCATAATCATAGAAACTTTTAAATTATTGAGATAATTCAACCGCTGGCACAGCAGTCACAATCTGAGCAGGGCTGCTGATATGGTTGTGCTTAGAAATATCCCTTGGTTTATGGAATCAGATATAGAAGTGCATAGACGTTTATCTAGAATTGTGGAATGGTTTGGGTTGGAAGGGACCTTAAATCCCATCCAGTGCCACCCCTGCCATGGCAGGGACACCTTCCACTGTCCCAGGTGCTCCAACCCCAATGTCCAACCTGGCCTTGGGCACTGCCAGGGATCCAGGGACAGCCACAGCTGCTCTGGGCACCCTGTGCCAGGGCCTGCCCAGCTGCACAAAGAAGAATTTCTTTCTGCAACATAATCCAAACCTCCTGCTGTCAGTTTAAAGCCATTCCCCCTTTTCCTGTCACTCCGTGTCCTTGTCCAGAGCACCTCCCCAGCTCTCCTGCAGTCCCTTCAGGCACCGGAACATTACATTCACTGCTACATTCCTCATGTGTCTCCTTTTCCTCAGCAGCCCTGCAGTGACCCCATTTCACAGCCCCTGAGGTCGCTCGCTCATCCCGACCCTCCCTCCCTGCGCCGCACTCACCGAGGACTTGAGGAGCAGCAGCGGATCCAAGGCGTCCGCCCAGAGGAGAAACCTCTGGAAGAACGACTGAGAGAGACACGTTTGAGAAAGACGAGGCGTTATTTCGGATACCTTCCCTAAGCATGACCCGTCCCCACATCCCCGCCCGCACTGCCCACCTGCCCCTCCGCCCTCCAGTAGCGCAGGTTGACGTCCATGGAGCCGAGGCACCGGAAGTGCCGGCGGGCCCGGTCCGCGGCTGCACGCTCCGGCCGGGCACGGAGCTGCCGCGCCGGGGTTCCGGTGCCCTTTCCAGCGGCTTCCCCCGGGGAAGGCCAGGCCCCACGGCCTTTCCCTTTCCAGCGGCGTCCCTCGGGAAGGCCAGGCCCCACGGCCTTTCCCTCTCCAGCGGCTTCCCCCGGGGAAGGCCAGGCCCCACGGCCTTTCCCTTTCCAGCGGCTTCCCCGGGAAGGCAGAGCCGAGGAGCCGGGCAGCGGAGAATCCCCCGCGTCCTCCGCGGGATGGCTGAAGGAGGAGAAGGCCCGGCCAGGTGAAGGTCGGGGTGGCGCGGCCCCGCAGGCAAAAACTGGTCAAATTCAAATACCAGGTTTATTGGGAAAAATACCACGGTTTCATTTCACAAAGCAACCAAATACCAGGACTGAAAAGATTTGCAAGTCGTGGAACCTGCAGCATCAGAAAGCACGATACCTCAGTTTCAATTCTCAATCCTTTGTTACAGTGGAGCATTAATCCCCATTATAAAGCTGATTTAGGACTCAGCCCCGCCCGTTGTGCTTCTTTGCTCAGAGGGACAGAGGATGAAAAACAGAAACCCCCTGAGTGTTGAATTGATCTGTGCAGCCCCGCCAGGACTTGGTTTCAGGGGCTGTGAACTGCAGTGAACAAAGATGCAGGACAGAGCTGCTGAGGCAAGGAACACATCCCATTCCTTCAAAACACAGAAACAGGGCTCAGGGGCAAAGGGAAAGAAAAGCAAAGCATCACACCTGCTGCCAGGCCACGTTAAGATTATTTTATTACAGCTAGAGAGATGCTACATAAGTTTCAAGCAGTACAAGAGTCAAGCAAATTCAAGTGAAAGAAAACTTGCCATGAAGCTCCAGTAAGTGCACTGTGGGGGTTCAAGTTTTTACCATCTCCCAAACAAAATTAAAATTCATCCTTGTTAGTGCTCCCAAGGACCTGCACCTTTTTCTAAAATGGCACATATTTACATTCATTCCATGTTTTAGTGCATTTACACACAAAACCAATAATTTTAAAATTATTACATTTATCTCTTCCTCTGCAAAATGCATTAAAAACAAACCATATATCAAAAATTTATCCTTGTATTGTTTCAAACTTTTTTTTGACAGAATTTTATGTTGTATGAGAAAATGAAATGCAGGACATTTTCTGGTCCAAAGCTAGTTAAAGAAAGAGGAGAAAGCCAGTGGAAGGCAACTGTAACTTGTGTACTCATCACATTCAGGAAAATGATTAATGGTCACAGAAATCCATGAAACTGAAGTTGCAGAAGATGGGGGAAAGCCTTAGCTGTACCCTTTTTAAAGCAAGACAAGGGAGTCAGTAAATATTTCAGCATTTAATTTCTTCTTAAACATGACAAAATGAGACCTTTTATTTTTATTATTAATTTTTACAATCACAGCTGTTTTCCTAATGTCTTCAGTGGACAAAACTAAGAGTTTTGCCCACATATTTGAGTGTTTATTTATGCACTTTTTCAAAATATTCTTTGGAACCTTCTGGACTTGGTTTGATCTGTCAAGAAAAGAAAGTTTAGTTATTACTCGGTACGATATAAGTACAATGTAACTTTAGTTATTACAGGTACCATAAAAAAATTACAGATTTGACACTTTATCCAAGAAAATCCATGCATGCTTTTTGTAAAAAGAGTAATCTATTTCTGTTTCTGCACTTGAAAGACAAAAGCCAAGATCATTTACAACTCCTACTTGAAAATTGTGAGTATAAACCGCATTTTTCCTGTTAAATTACAATGCATTAAATAAGTAAAAAATCTGAACTTAGTTAATGGAGAGTCCAAGTCAAATTTGGAATTTTGAACATAATTTGTGTCCCCTAAAAGGAAACCAGTAACTTTCTTCACAGAAATCCCACACTGTGTATCAAACAGACTAAAGTGCCCCAACTGATAAAAGCTTTGTGTTTTAACAGGAAGAGAATTCAGTCCAGCAGCTCACATCCAAGTGGATGCCAGCCCTCCAGACAAGCACAGAGAGGCCAGTGCCTATCTTTAGGAGGGTTATATTTAGCACTGAGCAGCACTCACCGTTGGGGAGTTTGGAGTCCAGTTAGCTGGGCACACCTCTCCGTGTGTCTCCACGAACTGGAAAGCCTTCACCAGGCGCAGCGTCTCCTCCACGCTGCGCCCCACGGGCAGGTCATTGACGCTCAGGTGCTTGACAATCCCGTTTGGGTCAATGATGAACAGACCTCTGCAACGGAGCAGGAGTTTAGGGAAGGCAAAGCACGTTCCAAGGCCAAACACAAGGAACTGGAGGCACAATTTCAGTAAGGTAGTCACTGCTAGTTACAGGCAGCAGTTAGGAGCAGAACTATAGCATTTGGTATCTTAGCAAAGTGATCCATTGCTATGGTACTGTGAAGTTAGAGAGTATGCAGAGACTATTCAATCCAGGCACACAGAGCAAAGGGAGAACAGTGTTCCACCTGTACTTCAAAATTTAAAGCTGGCATCCTGCCCATGTCTTTTTGGTCAAATCTGTAGGTACTGAGTGAAGAGCTGCTTGTGCATTATGCCACTAAAGTAAATTCCGTTGCATACAAGTATTTGTGAAAACCAAAGTCCCGATCTTACCATACTAATTAACTTCATCTTTCAGTAAACAAATGTCAAAAGTTCCTAATCCAAAGAGATCAGGAACTGAAGGCCTCCAGAAGACTCCTACCCAATCCACTGTTTCTCAGGGACTACTATGGAAAAAAATTATCAGAAACTCCCTTTCTATGCTGCTCTTTTTCCTTAGTTACACGGACTTCTCCCCCTCTCTCAGAGCAGAAGAGCTGGCTTTTCCCTCCCACATTTTCAGAGCAGCCTGGAGCCATTCTCAGCTTCATGGCCAAAATGGCCAGGTGCCCTTTTCCTAAGGTAGGATCCAGCCATCATGCAGCAGACATCTCACAGTCTTCACTTGATTCCATTCCCCCACAGGAGGGAACAGTGTGCCTTATGTTGGTTAGACTGGGTTATGTCACACCACAGCCACCAGCAGTGGAGCCTTACCTCAGTGCTATGCCAGGTCCTTCCAGCAGCACCCCATAATCACGGGAGATCTGTTTGGTGAGGTCTGACAGAATTGGAATATTCATTTTGCCCAAACCGCCGCTCTAGAGAACAGAGTAAGATTCCACTTGGTTACAAAAAGCTTCATGGGATCATCCTTCCTGAGCTGGTGGATTCCATGTCCTTCAGGGCACAGTAACAACAAAACACAACCATGGCATCTGCTCCATGAAATTAACCAAGTGTGTGTGGTGTTGCTTGGGTTTGCTTTGTTTGTTTGTTTTGAAGCAGTCAGGAACAGTCTGTTTCTTTAGAAAGAGAAAATTTCTTTTGCACAGAGCATTTTAGAACTGCTTATTTTGGTGGTAAGAGGCTACCAATGGCAACAGCCATAGATTTCCAGAAAAACTTCCTTTGTATCCTATTCAGGAACATTGAATAGAAAAATTTAAACTGCGTATTTAAGTGTTCAGAATTAAATAGCATGAACATGGTGGGGAGGGAAGGGAAACAAACGTGTGAACAAAAAAACTTCAGAGCACACATCTGATGAGGAACAACTGAGGGAGCTGAGGAGAAAAGGAGGCTCAGGGGTGACCTCATCACTCTCGACAACTACTTAAAAGTGGGTGTAGCCAGGTGGGGGTAAGCCTCTTCTCCCAGCTAACAAGGGACAGGACATGAGGAAATGGCGTCAAATTGCACCAGGGGAGGTTTATATCAAATATTATCAAAATTTTCTTCACAGAAAGGATTGTCAGGCATTGGAACAAGCTTCTCAGGGCATGGGAAAAAAAGCATGTTGGATGTGACACTTGGGGACATGGTTAGTGGGGAACATGGTGATGGTGGTGGTGAGTTGGATTTCATAGTCCTAGAGATCTTTTCCAACCTTAACAATTCTATGATTCCAAACACAATGCTCCTACAAGCATACTAAATATGTCAGAGTTCTGCTGCTCTATTCAGTGCACATTTTTTTTCTTGTTTTGCCTCTCACAAATCAATTTAAATACTATTTGAAAAGTCAAACAAGATTTCTTTCAGTTTTGCCACATACTGAGACTGCAAGAGAGATAAGGTCTCTAACCTTGAAACAAGGCTGGAATTTGTTGGCTTTGCTATTCTTGGCATCATCAGTGAATCACTGTGTAATCTCAGCCACTCAGACCCTGATCCTGCAAACACTTGTCTGCAAGAGTTCCCTACACAGAGTTTTGAGCACAGATGTCAGAGAAACCAAGGCTTCAGCTTCTCTGGGTGTCAGTTCCCTGCTGTACCACCATGGAATTCTTTCCACCCTGTTTTGAGTTGGACTCCATGGTCCTTGTGGGTCCCTTCCAACTCAGAATAGTCTGTGCATCTGTAAAATACTATGTGCATGACTGACATACCCTGAACACCTTTGGGATAAAGCTGTTAAGACAGGCCACAGTCATATTGCTTTGAAGAAAGCATGCAGAAAAGAAATACCTTTGACAGGCTCAGCCAAGGTGTATTAAATCCAGGTGTATTAAACTCCCTTCCCTGCATGTTCCAGTGGTGCCAGAAGACACCACTGGAGCCTGCAGCACTAGTGCACACTGCTGTCCTCACAGGCTGGGACTGATGGCACAGGCACTTCTGCACCTTCCTGGGACACCTGTGGTTCTCTACCTAAACCAGGGAGATGCTTTGGGTCTTCAAAAGCACGTATTTTTATACATATCTGAAAGAGTCTCCAATAAAAGGCTGTCTTCATCACTTTCCTTTCCTAAAGAAAATAACCTCCATTTGTACTGCAAGAGTGGAACCCTTTCAGCAAGTGAGTTAATGATACAAGTGCTGCAATAAACTGGTGGTTCCTTTGCTTCCAACCTGAAGCCACCACAGTTGGGTAATTGTCAACAGTAATGACTGAAAGGAGCTGCTGCTCCTTTACTGTGATAGTTTTTGTGCATTATCAGCTGTCACAGGCACTTTGGGACAGTGACATGTAAACTGAGCATTTGTCTTTTGAGATAAATGTACAAGGATACAATGGTATCAATATAACTGTCATCACAGCAACGTAAGTTAAAAACCCATACCAAATAATTAAGAAAAAGAGAAAGAAAACAAAAGATAGAGGTCAGAATTATGTCATCAAATGTAGAAGCTGACTGCATACAACTTTAGGAAATCTATTAAAAATCAGTGTTGGCACAATTATTTATTCAACTCCTCTCCTCTGAAGCTCTTGTGAAAAGAAACCAAACCAACAGAGAAAGCCCTAAGAGACTCCATTCCTACCTTTCGTGGTGTGTTTATCCAGGCCAGATGACTGAAATGAGAGTCCACTGAAACGGCCACCACTTCACAGTTCACGTCACGAAATTCATTCGCTTTGTTGCTAAAAGCCACAATTTCCGTGGGGCAGACAAAAGTGCTGGTGGGAAGACAGATCAGGTTGTAATAATTCTGCCATCTTCCCTAGAGAAGACTCTCATGTGTTTCTAGGCACTAATGCAGCAGAGCGTTATCTTTAGACTGGTAATTTTAGCCATGTTTCCTGCTCATTATTAGTTTCAGTCTCAAACCAACAGTAACAGCCACATAGTTCTAGAGTTCTAGACAGATTCTTTACAAAGACAGAAACATGCTAGAGACTCTCCAGAGAGTTTTTGGAAACTATAGCAGAAAGATCTGCAGGTTAAACCCTTCTCCATGTGCCCACATGCACCGGGATGCTCTCGGCAATTCAAGTCTTCTGAACGGCCTGACCCCCATCCTGTCATGCTCTGCCTTGGAGCCATGTACTTGCAGTTCTGCTGGCCTTGCTGCTTCAAGGACAGAGTCTCCAAGGCAGCTGCAAACTGCAAGGAAATGCCCTCACCCCTGCGATCTGACTGTAACAGGAACCACAGCCAGCTCCTGATGCAGTCCCTGCAGACAGAAGATGCTCTCCAGCCACCTTATCCACTGTTTTAACACACAACGGCCATGTGCCCTCAATCTTATCACCGACGCTCTAGAAACAGGCACATCTGCTTTGCCAGACTGCCCCAAATCGGGCAAAACCAGAACGACCTGCAGCGCTTGTGATGACCTTCAGCAAGGCAGAAGGCCCAACGGAAAGGGGACAAACCCGCACTCACAAGTCCAGGGGGTAGAAGAAGAGAACCAAGTATTTCCCCTTGAAATCATCTAGGCTCAACTCCTTGAACTCTCCGTTAACGACGGCCGTTCCCTTGAAGGACGGGGCGTGCTGTGTCACCGCCACGGCGAACCGCGAGGAGCCTGCGGAGGGGAGAACGCGGAGCTGCGGGCCGGGCCCGGGGGCGCTCCCGGGGCGCGTCCCCCGCACACCTTCCCGCACTTACCGAGGCTGAAGGCGCGGCGGGCGCAGGCCGGGAGCTGCGCCGTCCCTCTCCTCCCGGCAGCGGCGGCGGCCACGGGCACCTGCGGGGACAGGGAGGGTCAGGGCGGCGGTTCAGGGCGGCGGGGCCGGGCGGGCCCGCGGGCCGTCCCTCACTCACCGCGGCGCGGAGCAGCCTCCCCAGCGCGGCGGCCATGTCGAGCGGCGGGCGGAGCGGAGCGGGGCGGAGCGGGGCGGGAACACGAGGGGGGCGGTGAGGAATGCGCGGGCACAGAATCGCGGAATCGATCGCGCTGGGAAAGGCTGCTGGCACTGTGCAGTCCGACATGTGCTCGAACACCACCGGGTCAGCCAGAGTATGGCTATTCAGTCTTTCCTTTAAGACCTCCAGGGACGGTAACTCCACCACCTCCCTGGGCAGCCCATTCCAATGTCTAATCACCCTTTCTGCGAAGCAGTTCTAAGTAATGTCCAACCTAAAGCTCCCCATGCACAACTTGAGGCCATGTCCTCTTGTCATTTGTTACTTGGGAGCAGAGCCCGACCCCGACCCTCCTGTCAAGGAGTTGTGGAGAGTGATAAGGTCTGCCCTGAGCCTTTTCCAGGCTAAACACCCCCAGCTCCTTCACCTGCCCCTCACAGGACTTGTGCTCCAGACCCTTCCCCAGCTCCGTTCCCTTCTCTGGACCCGCTTCAGCACCTCGATGTCCTTGCAGAACTGCGGGGCCCAGAACTGGACACAGCACTCGAGGCTCCACAGTGCCATGTCCCCGGCGCTGTGCCCGGGCCTCGCAGGGGTGGGTGATGTTTGCTCTGTGTGACACAGCCCAGCCTCTGCTCAGAAACCTTCCACAGACACGCTTACCATTGACCCTGACTTTGTTGAACTCACTCTGATTATAGCTACAGAATCACAGAATATTCTCGGTTGGAAGGAATACACAAGGGTCATCAAAGTGCAGCTCCTGGCCCTGCACAGGACGCCCCAAGAGTCACACCATGTGCCTGAGAGCATTGTCTAAACACTTCTTGAGCTCTGTCAGGCTTGGTGCTGTGCCCACTTCCCCGGGGACCTCGTTCCAGCACGCAATCTCTATTTTTTTCTAAAACCCTGTGGTTTTTCTAATGCACAACCTAAACCTCCCCTGACTCAACTTCAGGCTGTTCCCTTCGGTCCTGTCACTGATCACCACGAAGCAGAGATCAGAGTCTGGCCCTCTTCTTCCTCTCACAAAGAAGTTGTAGACTGCAATGTTTTGTCCCCTCAGTCTTCTCCACCTGAACACACCAGGTGCCCTCAGCCACTCGTCATACAGCATCCCCTCAAAGCCCTTCATCATCTTTGCAGCTCCTAGCTTCTCTTTTTGTTCCTTCATCTAAACACTTAAACCGAGCTGAAGCCAGTTTCTCTTCTGGGTTTTAGTAATTTCTGCTTTCATATATTTATTAATATCCATGACATTTTAGAAAGGGCAGACCTTGTAAACCAGAGAAGAGTGTGGCTCTGCTAGCAGGATAAGCTCAGCCATCAACATCAAGGGGCAAAGCCAAAGGCAGCCAGAGCAATGTCAGCTACCCCTGGGATAAACTCAATGAATGCTAAATCTGCACTTCTGAACTTATTCCTGGTACTGATCCATCTGCATGGTCCAGTCACCTCTGTAACAGTGAACCCTCTGAGCCTTCAAAAGAGGGAGGATTTTGTTCAACCATCCTGTTAGGGTTGATAACTGGCTGGTGGTAACTCTCTGCCATGACTAGGAATTGTTTGGGCCAGTATTAGTTGCTGTTGTCCAAAAGTGTGCTGAGATCTTTCTGGGCATTTAACATCATGGCAAATTTCAGTCACTGGCACCTTGAATTTATTAATCCAGATGTAGCCAATGACAGCTGGAAATGTGGCTCTGAAAATCTTCTCAAAAAAAAAAACCCCGTAACTCCTAGCAGAGCAGCCAGAATAATGTTATGTATTCAAAACATGAAAGTGGAAGCAAGTAAACAATTTGTGCATTAGAAGGTGTGTCAGGTAGAGTGTAGCTGAGATGTGCCCTTGTCTGCAGCCTTGGATTAGGAGAGGGAAGATTGTGGAGATTGTGACCAGGGTAGAGGTGTGGGAGGTGTTTGTGCCACTGCTGAGGGCTGCAAGTGGAGCAGTGAGCAGTGAAGCTGAGCCTGGCACACCTGTGGAGCAGTGACTGTAGGTGGAGAGCAGCAAAACCATCAGCCATTACCTAGGCTGATTCTTTTCAGAGCAGAGCAGGATGTCATGACTGCATTTGTGTCTGAAAGCTGGCACATGCCCTCAGTCACAGAGACATGCTTGTCCAGACAGTGCCCTGGGGCTGGGCAGCAAATTGTGTGCCCAGGGGTGGCCAAGTTCCTTTCCCTCAGCTGTGGGAGCTGCATTGTGGCATCCAGAAAAGGGCTGTTGCTCGGATTTCCTGAGGATGGCTGTCTCATCCACAGATGATTATTCACAAAACTTCTAAGTTGATGTATTCTAAACCAATGCCCTTCCCCCATCCCCGGAAAAGTTATATTTGTTTAAAACTCTTTGTTTAAACTCTTGGCTTGCAGGTGGGGAAATATTGCTCATGCTTTGTTATGTAGGCAGCATAATTCAGCTTCTCAGACCTCTGTGCAAAAGCTTGAACTACTGCCATTTAATGGGGGGTATTTTCCATTTTGCTTTTGCAAAATGAGCATCCCTGAAATCTGAAGATGGACCTTGTCACTGCCAAAGTGCACCTGATAAAAGTCGTTCCTTTTTCCTCATCTCTGGCTCTGGCACAGGCTAGAGCATCTGCTAAACCTGGTTCTTACTGACATCCAAAGCTCAAACTCAATCTACCAAATGATACCATATGCACATCTTTTTCCAAATCTTGTTGGTTGTCTCCTTTGCTTTCTTTAAGCCTGATTCAAATTGAGATGTGAAGCTGGTGAAAGATTCTCCAGGGATTTCAGCAGGCTGTAAGGAGAAGTTGGTATACAAGGTGCAGAGTAGCCCATAAGGCACTTGAATAGATACTGGGAGATGTGAATGTTCTTTTTGATTAGGATACTTCTCTGCCTGCTCCCATTTTGTCGCTCTCTTTTCCTATCTGGGAATAGTTGACTATGTCTTTCTGGTAAAAAAACTACAAGATCGGTTGATAAAAGATACTAGATGATGCTTGTGTATTGTTTCCATGATTGTTTTGTAAATGTTAGGTTTTAAAGAGCTCTGAAAGATCACCATTCACACAACAAAATTTTAGAGGAAAAGTAGCTGTTTCTCTCTAAACTTGATGAAAAGGATAAGCAAATCCCAAATCAGAACTGCTGCTGTGGATCACTGAGTGGCAAATTCTGTGCAGAATATGGGATACATATGTCTGCTTGTTTAAAAATAAAATCTGCTAATGTTCTAGAAGGTTATGTTATTCCATGTGTTCAAATGCTGTAACAATCATTTGTCCTCTACCTTGAGGAAACAGATAACTGAAAAAGAGACTGGGAAATGGAAAAAAACAACAGAGGCGTAAGCATTTTTATCTAAACCAAAGCAAAAAGTTTGGCTTAGGCAACACGATGCATCACCCCGTGACTGTGGGTAGATGGCAGCCTCTGTCCTTGCACACAGGGGCGCTGGAAAATATTGCAGCTGCCTGCAAATGCTCTCCCAGGCCTGTGTGCTCCCACCTGCTGATACTCAAGCAGGAGAAAAAATTTGCCTGTTCATAGCAAGAAGTTTCAGAAGCAGTTCCAAGCACAATCTAGCTTAGGACTAATCATGAACGGGCTTTACTGCATTAATTAAGTGTTAGAACATGGATTTAGGAGATAGCTGCTGTTAGGGAAGGTTTCCAATTGATAAGTATAGGTAAAAGCCTTTCTGACATCTGCTTCACCGGGGTCTTACCCTTCCATTCCGAGGTGGCCGTGCTGAGGCCGAGTGGTTTTTCTCTGGTGGCAGGATCAGACTGGGTGTGTTGCCGCTGTGTTTCTGGCTGGAGCTGTGCGAGCCCACCCTGCCGATGACTCATCCTTGAGTGGCTCAGAATATCACACTGTGCCTCGCTGCTTCCCTGTTCCTATTACACTGATGCATTTGGGTCTCGCTCGGTGTTGGCGTTTCATTTACAAACCTCGCTTTTCCCATAAAGGAAAGATGGCTGCCAGCCCTGCTTTACCCTGATGTTCAGCACTTTTAGATTTTTGGGAGCCTCTCCTGAATGACTTCAGATGGAAATTTTAAAGCACATTTTTAAAGCACCTTAGAAAGCACATTTTTCAGAATATTAAGTTTTTATGGTAGCCTCTCCCTTTTTTTTCCCCCTTCCAATATTGGTTGCTTCTGCATATGATTCAGACTAAATTTTCCTTTTTCTCCTAGCAAGTGTTGAATCAGGATATTTTCAGGCCAGCAAGAGAGACCTGTGTTCCTTCCCTGCATTCCTTCCCTGCCACCCTGTCTTTGAGTCCACATATTTCAGCACCATTTTACAAGAGTGAATAGAGTCAGATAAGCAGTGGAACAGATTTACAGGTCTCCTGTTTCCTTCTCCGTCACTCACAGAGAAGCTGACTGTTCCATTAAATCAGGTGTGGACAGAATTTGAAATTAAAGGACTGCATCACCACAAGAAAAAATAGATATAAATAAATCTACCTATTCCTAATTTTTTTTTGTTGGTTGTGTGAACCAGTTGTTCTAGCTGACATGAGAACAAAGATACTGAGAGCTGTGAAGCAGTCATTAGGTAAGAGCCCAAATGCTGCGGTTTTGGTTTTGATTTTGCAAAAGCCAGCTGATGGATTTTCTGCGCAGTGGAACTTGCTCTGGCAACACATGGGGAGCCACATCCATGAAAGGGGCCATCCATCTCGGGTCTGTGTAACCTGTATCAGGGGTTTAATCAGGCTTTAAAATGCAGTAGAAAAGAGATGCAGTGAGGACTAATCACCTAGATTTTGTTTTTCAAAGTAGTGCTAGTGAGTGCTAGTGAACACACCTCCTTCCATGTCCTAGTACATGCCAGTGAGTCAGATTGATTAGAAACAGGGAGGAGGTTGTTAGTTAACATAAGAATATTGAAAAAAACCCTCTCCATTGCTCTTCCCAATAAGCATGGAGTCAGAATCGCTGCTCTCCATGTAGACGTGGAACTAAGACAGACATGAGCAGAGCTCAGATATCCCCACTCCCTGCTCTCAGCCACGTTTAAGTTGTGCGGCTGCCTCTGGTCCACTTCAAGGCAAAGCCACGCAGCTGAGCTGGAATAACCCGCGTGGCAGCAGCACACGCTGCTGGCTGGCTGTCCCCGCTCCTGCGGGGGCTGCCCGAGTGTGCCTTTGGTTGCCAGGATCGTGGAGAGCGCCGGAGCTGCGCCGCTCATGAACACTAGGTAGCTCCGTGGGATTTCCAAACTCCAGGCAGATCTGTCGTAACTCTTTTTGATAAATAGGTTTGCCCTTTCAAGAATTAAATATTTGAAACTATACAGGACAACATCAGCGTGCTGGAGTCATACTTTTGCCCCACAGGGCAATGCTGTGGGTGACTCCACATATCTAGAGGGAACATAGAGATATTAGATAAAAGAGGAACAGTAGAGCTGTTGGGTGCACGTGCTGATTTCCAGTGCAACTCATACTTGAGCTCTTCAAGATCTGCCCTCTTCATTCAGATACCTCTATGAAAATAACTCGCCAAACACAGTCAGTGCTCCCTGTGGAATCTCCCATGAAGGTAAATCCCTCCCCACTGACCAGTCTCATCCCGGGATGCAGCAGACACAGCGATATCCCACTGCTGCTGCAGTGAGTGGTGCTTCACAAAATGAGCACTTAGACACATGCCTTCATTTGCCCTCTGAAGAGAGGAGTTGCTTGTAGCATTAAAAACATTCTGTATAATGAAAGTTCTGTCTTCCACCCTCAGCCACATTGAGATGTTTGCATTGTTCTTATAATGATTATTAGTAGGGGGCTGGGCAGGGATGTGAAATGCACTTAGAACTGAGCATAATCTGCTCTGTTTACATCACTGCTTGCACAGAAGAGTTCAAACAACAAGCAGGGCAGATGCTCCTTAGGAGCCTCATCTCTGTGCTAAGGCTCTGGTTTCCAGGAAGCAATTTCTCCCTCAAGAATTATTTAATCAGAGAAAAATCTTCCGGTACTTACAGACACAACTGCTGCTGTATAGAACTTGTATTACAAAGAAAGTAACCACAACATGGAAGGCTCCGAAGGCTGAATGTTTTTCTGAAGCTACAGGAGAGAGGCTGTGGAAGACTGTACATAGCACTGCCACCTGCTATGCAAAATAACTTTCAAAGGTCAAACCTTTGACACTTAATCAGGTACAAAAGGCATTTATTGTAGCAATTTTACCCCCGAGGTATTATTCATTAAATGCATTTCTCATCTATTTCCTATGTTCAGAAAATGCGTTCTAGGCAGTCTGCAAGCTCTGCTATTGCAAGTCATTTCTGTGTGGCTATGGAAAGAAATAAATTGGTAAATTAAAAAAAAAAAAAAAAAAAGAAGAAGAAAGTAATGTCTATGCTCCACTTACAAGAAGGTGCATGTTAATTTCATTTACTTCATGTGGATTTAATCAATGCAAATACAGATGGGGAAGAGTGTCAGTGGGAGTAATGGGTCGTTTTTATTCCTCTTTCATTGCTTGACCTGATGAATCGATCTACCCCGTTGCTAGGAAAATCAGAATCATGCTGACATGAGCATCTGTCCTATGTAGACAGGAGAGAGTTTATGTTGCAATCTAGCGCTAAAAATTCGCAAACTTTCCACAAGTGGCTGATGCCTCACACAGCTCCTTACAAGGTGAAAACAATGGTGTGACAGAAGAGATGGGATTCCCTCGGGTTCTTCCTTAGGGGGCTTTTGACAACCCGAGAGGGGCGGGGGGGAAGACGCCTGCCGGGTGTCGGCGACCCCTTCCCACCTGTGTGGGCACCTGCGGGAGGGTGACGAACGCCAAGAGCCGGGCCAGGGAGCCCTGGGGACCGCGGACCGGACAAGGGGAGCCCGGGGATGGAGCCTCCCGGGGATGGAGCGCCGCTCCAGGGCTGCACCGGGGCCAGGACGGCGGGAGCCCCGCGCATCGCCCCGCGCATCCCCGGCGGCGAACACCCATCCCACCACCGGGGACGCTCTGGCCGGTCCCTGCCCGTGTCCCTGCCTGTGCTCTCCCCCTCCCCGAGGCGGACAGCGGCCGTCTCTCCCCGGGGACCCTGCGCGGCTGCGGAGCCGGTGCCAGGTGCGGCGGAGCCGCTGCAGGACTACACGTCCCGGCGTGCCCAGCCCGGCGGGGCCGGCGCCTGCGCGGGGCTGCGGGGCCGCTCCGCGGTGCCACACCCCCGGGGAGGGAGGCAGGAGCGCCCGAGCCCTCAAACCACCGGGGGAGCCGGCGGGGCGGAGGATGGAGTAGCGGGGCGCGGCGGAGCAGGCAGTGCGGGGAGCGCCGCCTCCGCCCGGGGAGCGCGGGGGAGCGGGCAAGGCAGGCGGGGATGATGCGCGGGGGGACAACGCGCTAGGGGCAGGAGGCGGGTGGTCGCCCGGAGACTCCGCACCTCGGAGTGACGTCCTGCTGCAGTGCCGCTGCCTGCGCTGCCCGAGCTCGTCAATGGAGCTGGAAAACATCGTTGCCAACACCGTTTTGCTGAAAGCCAGGGAAGGTGAGAGAGCGGCGGGAGGGGAGAGGGGGCTGGAGCATCCTTGTCGCAGTCGCCCCTCCGCGGAGCGATGCCCGCGGGATGCGGGCGGGCGCCGGTGGGGATGCGCGCCGGTCCCGCCGGCGGCGGCTGTCGGGGTGCCATGTGGCTGTGCCGGGGTTGGAAACGGCTTGTTGGAGACAGAGCCCCGGTGAAAATGAAAATACCGCTGTTTTTTCCCTGTGCGCGGGGGTTTGGGAAAGGAAGTGAATGAGATTGCAGAGATTACAATATTCACCCATCTCTTCCTTCCCCCTTCCCGCCTCCCCCCCTCAAATCTGGTCCCACAGATTGTGCTATTTCAGCGTCTATTGTTAAAGGTCAGCTGCAGATGCATTCATTCAAAAGGGCTTAGCAAATCTGCAAATAGCTTTCCGCGCCGTGTGGTGAGACCGGCAGGATCGTATCGCTTCCCCGTACAGTCATTGCCTTATTCGGCGTTATTAGGTGAGATCATGTTGCTGCAAACATGCCCATTGTTGAGAGCGTGTTTGTCCCCAGCCGGAGCCGGACAGAGGGGCTGGGGGCTCCGTCCCCGCCCGCGGGTGGCGCGGGGGTCTCCGAGCGGGGGCTGTCCCCGCGGCCGCCGCCGCGCTCGGCCACCGGGGATGCTCCGGGCGATGTCGGAGCCGCCGGCGCGGAGCCGCCGCTGCTCGGCGCGGGGAGCCCTGAAAAGAGGCTCGACTACCGGCTGCGGCGGACCCGGCAGCATCCCCGTCCCGACCCCGACAGAGCCGAACCCCGACAACCACCGGTGGATCGGGCTCCCCGGGCTTGCTTTCCCCCCGTCGGGAGCGGACGCGGTTTCCTCTGCCCGCGCTGGCGGAAATCCTCCCGCGGCTGCGGGGCGCTGGGCACGGCGGGGCTCGGGGCTCCCCGCACAGCCCCGTCCGCCCGGAGCATCCCTCCGGCTGGAGCGGGAGCGCCACGCACAAGCAACACGTCTTACGGCTGCGGCAGCGCTGCCAAGACGCGATCGCCTTCTGTCTGCTCCAGCCCATTTCTATGTTTGTGTTTATTTACTTGCTTGCTGCTTAAAATAAGGCATTTTTCCAAGCCCTTGCTCAGAGTTTCTTCCCTGAAAGCACTTGCTGGACCAGGCGTTTTTAGGTGCGGTACAACCTGCAGCCAGCCCCGTTCTCCACTGTCCGCCGAAGCGCTGGAGCTGCCTGCGAGCGAGGCTGGGCACCGCTTGGGTGGGCTTCAGCTTCGGCCCCTCTGAAGCTCTGGAACTACGACTAAAGCAGCGTTCATTTTGTAAGCGAGATCATTCAAATAGTCCACCCCTGGAGCGATCTTTTTGCTGGGAAAATAACTCAGATTGTAAAATACTGTTTATATAACTCACAGGCTGTTGAACTTTTGAGGCTTAGCTAAAGAGTAAAGTCCTGAGATCCTCCCAAAAAAGGTTTACAAATAATAAGGGCAAAGGTGTCATCCCATTCAGCAGATTAGTGAATTTTAACTTTTTGACTTTTGATGGAGATCTTTTATTTTCTGTTGTCATTTTTAATGTTATTTAGGATGCAGTTGTTGCTACCAGTCATACAATGCTGGTTTAGATTTCAGTAGACTTTAGGAATACTTTAAAGGACTGGTATTAATTACAGTTACTGTGTGTTGTTTACAGAGAGCTGATATTTTGCAAGTAATTTTAAATGTGCCACTCGGTTTTATGGTCCTTTTCTGCCATTCTCAGGAAGATGGTTACAGTCATGTTGCTTTATTGTGTTAGAGTTGTATTCAAGAAGCTGTTAGCTATAATCCAAATGGCAGAAATTTATCAAGATTTCCTCTAAACTACATTCCAACTTGTTCTTTAAACCATGTATGAACCTCCAACAACATTTTTTTCGAGGCCTGGTGCTAATTTAAAGCCTTTCGAATTTTTTTTTTTTTTTAATTTTTTTTCTTTTTTGGAGGGGATATGAAATTTTTTTAAATGAAGAGCAAAGGGCAAGTGATGTACCTGACACCAGAGCCACAAGTATTATTGCTGTATGAGATAAGTTGCCACGCTTTAGTTATTGTTGCAAGGTGCTGTGAGCAAAGTTGTTTTAAAATTTGCAGCGAGTAATGGAGGTGACTTTCATTGCAGATGAAGGCAGACAGCATATGTAAGACCAAGAGTAAAAGCAAGTTAATATATTGAAGATTATGGTATCTGAAAAGAAGTTTGTTCCAGGTACTGCAGACTCCATCAATAGATTTAGCTGGGTGAACGTGTAGCCTAAGCCAAGTACGTGCCTGTGTGTTTCCACTTGTGGAGTCAAAATTAAAAGCTGTATTAGCTCAATCACATGCTGGCTGGTGCCTGCAATGTGGTCCTTAATCTTAGGAGAAGAAACATGGAAAAATGATGGGATCCACTCTGCAAATGTTAGTAAAGGCAGAAGTTTTGTCAGGATTTCAAGGGGAACACAAACCTACTCTCAGTAGCAAAGGGAATGTCCAGGAGAGGTTTAGGTAGAGCTGCAGTGAAATCCAGCAGTGAGGACGTTGGAGGGAGTCAGAAGTAGGGCTGAGTGGCCACCACAAATGTTTTATAGCAAATATTGGTTTAAATTTTGCAACTCTTTTGCTCTGGCCTTGGCAGCCTTTTTTTTTTTTTTTTTTGGCCTAAGTTCCTTCACCCCTGATGTAAAGTGAGCGTTTTTAGCTGAAGTACCAGGGGGCAAGTTTTATAACTGCTACACAAATACTTGCACTTAAATCCTGATGTTCACAATGAGAAGCACACCCAGAATTAACTGATGCCATGTGATACATGAGTAATCTTATTAGAGCAACAAAAAGAGTAAATGTGGTTCACATACAAAAAATGCATTTCAGTGAATAATTTTGAGCAGTGAATAAATTTCAGGAAATTTTAATATTTTTGCAGATTATGAAGGGTTTGACACAAAATTACACATAAGTTACTTGTTATACTCAGAACTCAGTCAGTTTGAACATGTAAGAATGGAGATTTACTGCATTTGAAAGTCCATTCATTATTTATTAGGAGTAAATTTATGCTGTCTCCTCAACTATAATTTCTCATTTCTTGAATGCAAAGTCCCATTTCACAAATCGCTAATCCCTTTTCAGACTGAATAGAAAATAGATCTGGTTTAATTATAGGAATCAAATAGGTATTTGGGAACTATCTAGTATTGCCTGAGGAGAAGAAAAAGCTAAGAAGGGAAGACAAGAAAGATGAGAGTCATAAAAAGAAAATCAAAACAATAACAATTGCAGTCATTTTGGGTTGAGTAAGAACCCCAGATTAGGAGGTGATAAAATTTATCTGGATCTTCATGGAATCATAGAATGGTTGGGTTGGAAGGAACCTTAAAGATAATCCAGTACCACCCCTTGCCATGGTCAGGGACATCTTCCACCATCACAGGTTGCCCCAAGCCCCTTCCAACCTGGCCTTGGACACTTCCAGGGATCCAGGGGCAGCCACAGCTTTTCTGGGCACCCTGTGCCAGAGCCTCACCACCCTCACAGGGGGAAATTTCTTCCCAATATTTCCCAATATCCCATCTAACCCTGCCCTCCATCGGTTTAAAACCATTTCACTGACCTTTCTTTTCATCAGGCTGCTTGTTCCTGAGTCTCAGCAGTGGTGTCTGAGGCACAGAATCACCCAGCCATGAGTCCTGGAGATCCCCCACGCTGCCAGCAACGAGTCCAGGTGGGGCACTGAGTCCCAGCTCACTTTCCCAATTTGTGGTTGTTTGACAGAGGGCATGATCAGAAACAAACAGCCAGGAGAGACCAAGAGCTGAGTCTCCCGAGGTCTCAGAGGAGCTTCAGCAGTCCTAATGCAGAGAAGATTTCTGTATCCACAGAGTCTTGAATCTACCCTTGCCTGTCAAAAGCAATAAGCTGATAAAAGACAAGTCTTTCAAAGAGACTGATAATTAAACTACAGTGTTTGTATGAAAAAGGAACAATATGGTCTGAGAAGCATGACCAAGGCATGGTAATTACCTGAATATTCTTCCTCATGAGCCATTCCTTCCTAGCCAGATCAGCCTTCCCTGATATTTCCTGCTGCTTCTGTGGGCACGAGCTTCCTCAGACAACCTGAAACACATTTCAAAACACAAATACAACTTGACTCTGAAATTGCAGAATCCTTTAAAAATTTGTACAAACAAACAGACAATTCTCACCACTTTGAAGTTTTAATGATAACTGTGATGTCTAATTTAGTCATTAGTTTTAAAGCAGCCACTTTGGAAGATGAACTGTGTTTTTGTCAAACCTAGAGTTTCTAAAGCACAAAGTTTACCATGTAAAAGGAAAAAAATCTTCAACCACGGAAACACAATGCAAATGCTTTTTTCCCTTTTTAGGTAGTCTGGAATTCTAAAATAAGCTTATTTATGGCACCCAAGCAGAGTCTTCTATTGGCCTAGACAAAAGGGGCGACCTTTTATACTCTCAGAATTTTTTGATGAGTGCACACTGATGCCATATAACATGCAAGATGTGCCTGTTCATAAATTGCTGTATTTTTAGCTTGCTTTTGCAGGATGATCACAGGAGAGATTTGTGTGTGTCCGTATTGGCAAAAGACTAGCAATAAATCTTAAACATGAAGTGTGATTGCTTTCCAAGAACTTGGCTGCAGAGCAGTTGGAAAAAGGGCAGGAGAACAATGAAAAGCATATTTTGAAGGAAAGAAGGTGGCTCTAGTGACAGCCAAAACTCCATGGAGAATATGGTTATTGCAACTTCATTAACCAGTGCACTGACTGCAGAATCTAAGGTCCTGTCCTCCATCCTTTGAAGTAAACCCAAAATACTTTGTATGGAAAACACTGTGAGCAGAGTTCCATGTGGGGTCTCAGTTTAGTTTTCTTTTTTGAGTTCAAGAGAAGCTCACCAATGTAATAGCTTTCAAAAAAAGTATTTCAAGAATGGAATTAGCCATTGCTTCAAATGCAACAGGGTGCTTTTAAGCAGTA